TTTCTTTGTAGCACAGGGCCAGGAAACACAATAGGCCAAAAAATTAAATTCCAGATGCTGTCAAATGCTGGCCTGCGGTGGGCACCGAACGGCCTTTGGGGGTGATGGCTGCAGAAGGTTCTAGAGCTTTGGAGGACAATCAGAAAGACTCAGTTAGATCACAGACCACTTACCTGTCTTCCCCTCCCTGCCTCTGTCCCTCCCTCCTTTCTGTCCCCATGCCTCTCTGGCCCATACCTTCTCTCACTGTGGTCTCTAAGACCCCTGGATGTGAGAGGAACACATGAACAATGTTTATCCTTCTCTGCCATTCAGAGACAACCAGATGCCTACTATGAAACTGGCATTGAGCTCTGGCCAGGCTTCCTACCCTCTGGGAAAAAATTTATAAAACAGGATTTTTGTTCTTACTCTAGCTCTCTCTCCCCCAGCTTTATGTCCTTCTACCTTGGTATCCATGGCAGCTATCTATCTTAATATATTAATTTAACTGTATTTCTCAGTGACTTCCTCTCTGGGTCTTAGAGTGTAGCATCTCTTCTGGGCTCTATCACATTGTCTCTGATGATTTTGAATCCCCTGATTGTTATCCCCCCTTAAATCCTAATTTTCCCCCATAACCCCTGTCAGATCCTGTGGTCACATGGCTTTCTCTTCTAGCAAAGCTCATGCTAGAGGGTGGTTTCCTGGTAGCTCCTTTCCCAGACTCTCCTTTCTTAGCCAATGTCGATGTGCCCAGATGGGAGCACAGCTAACCCCAGGTGTCCAGTGGGCAGAGTCAGAGTAAACACCCCAGGGAACCATGTGCAGGGCACAAGAAGCAGCTGGTAGCAGCTGAGCTTTAATGCCAAAGCAAAGAAGGAACTGACTTTGCAGACAGGCTGCAGCTGAAGGGTCAGCTGAGTCCAGTGACACTGGAGAGCTCTCAGAATGAGTGCCATGCGGTGGGGGTGGAGGAACACTCGGCTTCCTGGAGCTACTACAAAACACAGGCTTACAGGTGTGTGTCCCAATCCCCACTTGGATACACAAGAATGCCCTGCCCTTCCACACCTCCCCTAACAGCTGAGCCCAGGGCAGATGAAGCCCAGAGGGTAGGGGCTGCCACACACCTGTCAGGCTCGGTCCCAGAATCCTGGTCAAGTCAGACTCTTCTGAAGCCTCAGTTTCCTCACAAGGCCGGATTCAGAGAAAATAAGGGTCCAGAGACAGGATGAGTGAGAAAAACAAACAAACCCAAAAACCCTTGGGTCCTTGTGTCTCAAAAAACAGCTCTCATCCCCACTCTGCCTATGTCACAGCACCCTAGAGCCAGCTTTGGGTGTTCAGGCCCCATAACTGCCCTCCATCTCTTGTTTCCTCCATTTCCCCGTGGAGGGACACTGACAGCAGACCTCTCTCTGAGGTTTCCTCGTCCAGTCTCAGGCATTCTGGCACTCAGGCTGAGCCCCCATAGGTTCTGTGGTCTTATCTGAGGAATCTCCCATCCTGTCCTATGCTTAGGGCAGATGGAAGGGAGGAACAGCCCAACCCCAACCTGGCTTCAAGTCCAGCTTTATTGCTGCTGTGCCTGGGACCTGAGTCAGATGCCCGACCTTGTCAACCTTACCAACAAAATGGGTCCACAATCCACTGTCAGAGTGTGCAGATGGGAGAGCTTCGACATTCCCCAACTTACCAGGAATCTTCAACAGGCTGAGTTTGGATGGACCCGGAAATCCTCAGCTGTGTGGATGAAGTGTGGTATCCTGCTTATATACCCAAACCAGAGAAGGAAAGAGAAAGCCCACTTCCAAGGAACTCACAACCAAAACACACAGGAAACTTGCTGCTTCCTGAACACTATCCTCATCCCATGCACCCTGTGGACGCACTCAGAGGAGTGACTTTCTAGGTTCTTCTTAGCTGAGCCCTTTTCAAATGGGGGTCTGTGTGGTCTGGAGGGAAAAGTCCGGTCTCTGTGGACTAGGGGACCCTCCACAGGTCACTTCCTGTGCCTCCTGGGTTATGTTCAGTTCCTCCCTCCCTCACCTCCAGCCTCAGCCCCACCCCACCTCCTGGGTCCTGTTGGTGCTTACCATGGTGCTGCTGAGGATGGCCTGCACAGCATCTGGACATCTGCTTTCATGGGTTCTCCTTCCAGGAGCTCCTGCTCTGAACCTGGAACCACTAGGTTTCACATCCTCTCAGTGTCACAGGCCTCCAGACTTTAGTAGGCTCCCAGACCTTATCCCAACTGACTCCATGATGGAAGTACCACTCAGGCCATAAAACTTAGCACATACCCAGCACCACTAGACAAAACAAAAACAAAGACCCAGTCCATCAAAGTCCGCAGTTCTGGGAAAGTATCTAAATGTACTAACCTTGCTTTTTTGTCTTCTATATTTTCGTTTCTGGCTAACTGTTCTTGTCGACTGAAGTGCGTCAACCCAGGATGTGCTCTGTGTGCTTACCAGCTGACCCTGAGAAAGGCTCACCCTGAGAAAGGCTCACCCTGAGGCCACACTGGGATTCTGAACCCTGGTGTAGTTGCTGGTGGACTAATCCATTCTTTCTGTGGCCTTAAACCCATGTCTGAGTAGTCTTCTCTGGTGGATAACCACAACAGTTCTGGAATTCCCACAGAGATGTCCAGAGACACCAGGTCTCAGAAACCCTCAGAGCAGGGAAGAGTCTGGTGGTCAGGGAGCTCCTGAGCTGTTCCAGGTCCTGTTGATCAACTCCTGCCTGGTGCTTCATGGGACACCTCCACCCCCAAAGGAAACAAACTAGAGAGTCACCTGGCCGGGCATCTCTGCAGGTAAGTCTGGTCAAGGCATCTTCAGTGTAGGACACAAAGAGAGGCTGGATATGGCCACGGATGCATTGTCCTGGATCTGTGTGAGACACCACAGACTCTTCGGGTCTGTTCAGTTGTAGGAACGTGTGCTGGCCACCTCTGGTGTCTTTGCTGTGTGTCTGTGTGTCTTTCTATGTGTTTCTGTCAGTTCTACTTCCCTGTATTGACCAGTGGCTTTCTCTGGTGTGCCACCACCTTCCCCCAGCTCCTGACCTCTGCCTTCATGTCAGGGACCTGAATACTTTTGGCTCTGCCAAGTTACCCTTGACAAAAAAACAAAACCAAAACCAGCAACTGCATTTATCTTCATCCCACAACTGGTGGGAGCAGGCACAGCCAGTTCAACAGCCATTGGCCCCTCAGCCTCTATCACAAGGGATAAAGCTTTAAGGAGGAGAGTAGACAGGGTGATCAGGACCTAGAGACATGAAAAGCTTCCATTTCTGAATTACAAAACAGTTAGATTGCCTTGTGGAAATGGTCCTACAAAAATGGAGAGGCTTAGATTTACATCTCATGAGGTATGTATGACTTTGGGAGAAACCTGTTTTCTATGTTAACCTCTCAGGAATAATCAGAAAAAAAAATCTTGCTATGTTTGTGGGAAAACCTGAGAAAGAGAGAGATTATTTTGGTAATTGGTATCAGTTTCTGTTCTCTTGGTTCCCTTGGCTAACTACTTTGCTATCAGCACTGGCTGGGCCTTTAACCTCATTCTAGTTGGAATAATGATGAAGCCCTGCCCCTTACATTATATGGCCAATTATGTTTCAATAATTCAATAAAATTAACAGGCTTCAGGATCACCTATGCCTGTTTTTTTTTTTTAAAGATTTGTTTATTTATATGAATATGGTGCTCTGCCTGCATGTACACCTGCATGTCAGAAGAGGGCACCGGATCGCATCATAGATGGTTGTGAGCCACCCTGTGGTTGTTAGAAATTGAACTCAGGACCTCTGGAAGAGCAGCCAGTGCTCTTAACCTCACCTATGCCTCTTTAGAGAGGGATGAGTCCACTTTTTGACCCATTCACTAAGACCAGTGGGGAATGCAACAGGCCCCCAGACCTTAACACAAATGACTCCCTGTTTGTCCCTCTGTTAAAATGAAAACAGGGGTTGACTTAAGGTCCCGAATGCAGGTCAAATGTGCACAAAGGCATCGCATATGAAAATGATTTGTAATTTGTAAATGTTATTCAGGAGATGCCTGGAGATGTAAAATCCTATTCTTTGAGTTGAAAGTTTGTTTGTTTTTGTTTTTTTTTTTTTCCAAATGAATTTAAACTAAAGTTAAAAAAAAAAAAAGGAAGATTGCAATAGGGGCATCCTGACACTTTCTCCCTGTTTGGTCTCATGCCACTTTCTCTTGTGCTGTTGATTATTTCATATTCCAGTTTCCCCCCAGTGGGCAGCAACATTTATTTAACCAAAGTTGAACCCTATGGGCAGAGACTGGTGATCTGAGACACCATCTCGCCTACCTCCCCTTCCCCAGCTTCAGAGAAGCCGAGGCTCACAGCTGAGTCTCTTGATCCCAGACTGTCCCATATCTGCACCCTGCAACGTGTTTGACCTCTTACTCCAACATGGTTGCCCTGATACCCACAAATCAAAAACTGACCCAGCATGACACACGAGGATTCATTTAATTTCACGGGTCCTTCAAGTCACCCTGGACCCTTCACAGTCTGGCCACTTGCCAAGAGCTCTATCCACTGTGCTGTCCTCACTAGCATCCTCAACATCAGCACCAGCACCTGTCATCATGTGGAAGCTGCCTGATGGACGGGGGGGGGGACCGCTGGAGAGAAAGAGCTGCAGCCTGCAGAGCACCATCCTGTGGAAAGGGAGTCTGTGGGGACTCCTATCAACTGCTCTTTGGTTTCTCTGACCACCTCATTGCTTGCTCCTGCATACCCCTCTCTGTCTAACCACAAACCACTATGTGGTTTTAGTCCCGTTCTCCACACTCTCTAGTCCTTTCTGGTCCCTCAGTTCAGGCAGCTATCACAGCTTTGTTGACCCTCTAGCCGTCCATATGAACCTCACAGTGAGCCACAGATACAGGAAATTCTCAACCTTTAGTTTATAGACTCAATCCCACACTCTGCGCTTGCCCAACTTTCATTTCGGTTGCTGTGAAAAGACACAACTGAGAGGAGAAAGCTTTTATTTGGCCCACAGTTCCAGGCTATCGTCCACCATCTTGAAGTCAAGGCAGTGGCCCAGGCAGCTAGCCACAGTGCATCCACAGTCAAGAGCAATGAGAAACGAATTCCTGCATGCAAGCTTCCAGGTATTCAGTCTGCTTTTTGTTATGCACTTCAGAATGTATACTTAGGGAATAGGGCCACCCACAGTGGAGGAATTTACCCACTTCAATTAGAGCCATTACGACAAATCTCTCACAGGCATGCCACAGGACAACTTGAGCTGGACAATCCCTCACTGAGACTCTTCCCACAAGATTCCAGATTGTGTCAAGAGGACAGTTGAAACTAACCATCTCATCCCCCCTCTACCAAAATGGCTCAGCACCTTGAATCTGTCCAGATCATCGCCACTGACCTCAATATTACTTGAGGGCGGGTGGCTGTCAGTAAGACACCAGTAGGTTCTTATGGATCTGAGCAATCTCTTCCAACTTCACCTCCAACTCCTCAGCCAGGGCCCGCAGTTCACTGGCGGACTCTGATTTTGCCCCATCATATAAATGCATGGAGTTCTTTACAAGGTGGTAGACATCCACCACAAGGAAGACTCCTGCAATGGCTGCACCCCTGATTCTGGCTTTCTTGGTCATCGCCAAAGCGGTGCCTGCAAAGGCATTCCGCACCTGATCAGCACGTCGGGCAGGGATTAGCCTAGTAGTCATGAGGAGCTTGGCATCTGCTACTAAGCGCGGGTTGGCTCTGGCTACCCTAATGGCACGGATATTTTGTCCCAAGGCTTTCAAGTTTTTTATGACATCATAGGTGTTTTTAGAAAGTTTGAGCAAACTCTTCCCCAGGACAAACACTGTCTTCAGAGTATCCATGGTGTCTGCCACCAGGCGCTTGGCTTCAGCTTCATCTGACCACTTGCTTGCTTCCTCCACAACCATAGTGGCAGCACCAGTCAGAACAGACACTGTCCCCAGCCCCAACCCAGTTGCTGAGAGCAGCAGGCTGCCCCCCACTGTTACGGGTGCCAGAGCTAGACCCACAATCCCCAGGACCCCAGAGGCAGTGCTGGTGGAGTCGGCCACCACGTTGGAGACAGCGCAGCGCCTGTGCACTTGGTCAAGATGGTCAGCCAGAGCTCGGAGCCTGCTGATGTTTGCCTGCAGCTTTCTCTTCAGCTGAGGAAAAGCTTCCACAAACCTCTTCCTGTCCTGCAGCTCCTTTTGAAGCCTGTCTTTGTCCTCCGTGGCTCGGAGTCTTAGGAGCAGCTTCAGGACCTTATGCAGCGCTGCTTCCTCAGCTCTGTAACAGAAGAGGTCAGAGCATCAAGAAGACAGCTTGGTTCACCGTCAGATGGGCTCCCCTACGAGCTGCCTTGTCCACAGCAATGGGAAAGAATTTTACACATGTGCAGGGTTTTGCGTTCTACAGGGAACATTTGATGATCATAGACTCTCCCTGGTCCTTAGTCTATGGGCATCAGTGTGTGAAGTCATAATAAGACACACTTTAGTGACAGGCACATGATGAAGATGCCGTCACTAGAGGTACATGCCTTCACTACTAAAACGTTTGCCCAGTGTTAACACTGTAGAAGAGCACAGGGATGTGGGATTGGAGCAGAACTGGGGGCATGTGAGGAGGGTCCTATGGAGATGACCTGGACAATCCAGCCTCTGCCACCAACACCTTCCAGAGTTCATCTTTGTCCAACAGGAGCTGCAGGTCTTCTCTGCTTGCTGAGTCCTGCAGATACTCACTGACTTCCTGGATGAAGCGTCTCGTCAAGACTTGGGAGGAAACAGAATGATGTCAGAGGACAGTTCAGGAGAGCTTAAGTGGTGAACAGCATATGGCATTAAACAGCCAAGGTATTCAGCACCTGCCATTGGGTACCTGGTGGGGTCAGCAGTGTTGAGGAATCAATTGTGCCCTTCAATTCATATACAAAAGTCCTTATGCCCGAAAGTAAAGTACTGAGGATTAGGTAATGTCATACATATACACCCGTAATTCAGGGGAGTGTTGTACTGATGAGCAACAGAAGAGACGCTGTTGGGTTGGTCTGGTGCTGTGCATTTTAATGTTAATTACTGGCCCCTAAGACCTTGTCTTGCTCAGAGGAGCAAATTCTCATGTATACCTGTGTCCTTGTTGTATAAACCTTGCTCTTCCTAATTTAAAGCTGAGTGGTTGACAAAAAAAAAAAAAAATGCTGAAGCTGGGGATTTGGCAAAAGAAAGGGAGGTGGAGTTTGGAGTTCTCAGGCTAAGGTTGAGGGACCACGAGGATGAGAAGGAGAGGAAGACAGGATCAGAGGAACAGTCTAGCACAATGAGTTAGTGTGGGAAAGGATCATATGGCCTGATCAGTGTGGATGGAGGAGATGGAGAACATTACTAAGTATTTTGGGACCATGGATTGGAGGTAGCTCTAGATTGGGTCTCAGAGGTTAAGTTAGTTTAGAGGGTTAACATCTGCAGTGCCTCAGGTACAGGCTATTTTATAAAATACAACATGTGTCTGTGTCTTTATTTGATGGGTAGCAGGCTAGACTATAATTATAGCCTAATAAACATTTATTAGGCCATAAATTTTAAATTTATGAAACAAGACACCATGTATATAATGTCATCTCTCTCTCTCTTTCTCTCTCTCTCTCTCAGTTCTCTCTCTTGATGGTTCTCAACCTTCCTAAAGCTGTGACACTTTAATACAGTTCCTCATGTTGTGGTTACCATCCAGACCAAACCATAAAATTATTTTCATTGCTAGGTCCCAGGTGTAATTTTGCTATTGTTATGAATCACAATGTAAATGTCTGTGTTTTCCAAAACTCTTTGGTGATCCTTGAAAGGGTTGTTCAACCCCCAAAGGGATTGTGACCCACAGGGTAAGCACTACTCTCTATCTTTCGCCTATCATCATTGATCTCCGTGTCTATGAGTCCCTTCTTCCACTTGGTTCCTTGCTACCTCTCTCTCTCCGTGCTCATAGGAGAAGCTGTGTGCAGACTCCCTGTTCGCAGCCACTGCTACAAACCAGGAAGCGTGGCCTCACCACAACCAACCAGCTATTCCTTCACTGTGCGCTTTGGCTTTCAGAACTGAGAGGAACAGAGGTCTTTGCTTCAAGCCCTCGGCCTGTGGGACCAGGAGATGGTAGCTGGGAACGCATAGACCAAGGAGGTGTCATGGTGCTTTGCAATTCAATGCAATGTCTTCTACTCTGAACAATCGAAAGCTGTATCTTTCTATCTCAGAAAGCGACACTTTGCAAGGACAACTTCCATCTGCCTTGAGGTTCTTGCACATCAGCAGTGACACCAGAGCCTGTAAAGGGACTTTCAACTCCTCAGAGGGTGGTGACATTGGTTTGTTGGATAAAGGCAGCATTTCAAAGAAAATAGACTTCACAATGTCAGGACTAATTGCATGTAGGAAAAGTAAGGCTAGCTGTGATGGATTCGATGAGACTGGCCCCGGGGGCTTTTATATTGAAGTGCTTTGTTTCTAGTTGGTGGACCTGTTTGAGAACAGTGGCCTTGCTGGAGGACGTGTGTTACTAGGAATGGACTTTGAGGTTTCAAAAGCCCAGGCCATTCTCGTTAGCTTTCTCTCTGTGTCTCGTAATTGTAGATCAGATGCAAACCTTCAGCTGCTGCCCCAGTGGTCATGGGCTCACCCTCTGAAACTATAAGCCTCCGTTCCCGTGCATGTTGTGCCAGGCGTGGTGTGTTAGCACAGCAGTAGAAAAGTGACTAAGATAGCAGTTGGTACTAGGGAGTTGACTATTGCTGTGACAGGTTTGAGCATGGTGTTTGTTGAAGCCTTTATGACTCAGACTAGAAAAGTGGCTGCGCACTATAAGGGCAGTTAAAGGGACATCCTAGCAGAGTTTGGAAGACAGTAGTGCCAATAGCAATATTGTCCGTAGAGGCTGAGCTCAAGAGGTTTTAGGAGAGAATGATAGCAACAGTGCTAGAAACCACTTCTGCATTATTTTGGCAGAGACTGAGTCTGCTTTCTGCCCTTGCCCTAAAAATCGCCTGAGGCTAAACTGAAGAGTTTTGGACTACTTTTGTCCACAGAGGAGATTTCAAGAGAGCCTAGTAAATGGACTCTGCCACTTTGTTCATAGTAAGCAATCTTATGCAGACCTACAACTAAGAAGAGAAAGCCAGCAAGTGCTATTTCTCTATGGCTTCTGCATGGCCTCCTGCCCCCAGGTTCCTTACCTCTTTGAGCTCCTGCTGTGACTGTCTTTGATGGTGAACTGTGATGTGGAAGTGAAATAAATCCTTTCATTGATTGTTGTTTTTGGTCACAGTGTTTAATCACAGCAATAGAAACCCTTGTTCATACACCACGTCTATGAGTTTTTACATAGGGTGAAGAACTCATTCACAGGGGCTGCCAGACATGTAAGACCTGGTTTAAACAAGACCAGAGACAGGAGTTTTCTGTGTGGCGGGGAGGTTGGAGTCTCCTCAGAACTGGGAGTTGTCTCTGAGCCACATGGCCTGCTGTCCTTCACTTTTCTAGGCTATCCTAACTCCTCTTGAGTGGTAAGGAAGGGAGGAGAGGATTCCTGAGCATGACCCCAAGACAGAGTCAAGAACGAGAACACCTTATACCTAGTTTCAGTTGAGTCTCCTTAGTCCATTTTGAGGACTCCTTTTCTATCCTCAACTTAACAGGTTCTCAGTGTGGAGTCCCAAGATTCTAGGCCACACTCAGGACCCAGAGAAGAAGAGTCACATTACCTGTGGAGGCCATGAGGGACCTTGGTGTCAGGTGTGGGATCTCTCACAGGTTTTCCTCACAGTTCTTTGTGAGTCCAGACTAAAAGGAAGAGAAAAACAAACTGTGGCATGGAATGGGAACAGCTGTAATGAAGGCTACTGTCTCATGGTAATCTCTGGGATAGCAGAGCAGCTAAGGTCAAAGGTGACTAACTACCCTCTGTGCCCACCTGCAACAAGGGACAGAATTGGGTCCAAGGTCATGAGAGCTGTTTCTGTCCCTCATCTGCCTTGGGGTGGCATGGCCAAGGGAGATATGCCCTCTTCTCCTCTCCAACCCTTGCTGCCTATGGCAGGTGGAAGACCAGGTCCAGAAGTCATGAGAGCTGGAGAGCTGGCCCTGTCCCTCACCAGCTGCAGCACTTGGGAGAATGGGCCCTGCAGCTCTCCTGAGCAGCACAGTGGGGTTGACCCTGGAGGCAGAGGTACAGGGGATCCGGCCTCAAGGGCATAATCATGGCCTCAAGCATGGGAGCGCTGACTTTTCTTACCTGTGCAATCTGCAGCATTAGGTGAGCTAGCTAGGGGAATACCAGAGAGCTCATCCTGGTGGTGAGGGCCCAGGGGAGCTGGCAGACTGACCAGCTCAGCTACCTCCCAGGTCCAGATTCAGGGCTTTGAGTTGACCCATCCTGACATCTCCTCCATCTGTGAACTGGAGGCACACGGGAAAGGACCGGTTCTATGTAGAACCAAAGCTACAGGATCTCCATGACACAGGGCAAAAATAAGATATCTAAGAGGGTTCCCTGTGAGGATCCAGTATTGATAGTATAGGAAAGTCAGAGGCCTCAAAACGACAATGACACATTGTGATGAACCTTTGCAAGTAAAAGTGTGTGAGCAAGGGTCTAGCGACTCACTGTGACACAGTACAGCTTCCACAACAGTAATCGATACATCTCTCTCTCTTTCTCTCTCTCTCTATATATATACAGATGAGTATTGAGGCACTGTGCATTGGTGAGAAAGAGCGAGTGTTGTTTCTTTGCCAAGTGCAGCTCTATCTCCTGCTCCTTGCCTATAGATAAGATTTCCACGGATGCAGTGGACACAACTGCCCTCACGTTCTACAGCCCACATCTAGACACTCCTTCAGGCTTCCCATCCAAAGCCCCGATCCTATGGTGCCCTTCCTTCTGGACCTTGTTCCGTCCGGAACTGGATTTCCACACTTGGAGTCAGTAACACAATGACTGAGTGACCAACCAGATGCAAGAAGGCCTGTGACTGTCAGAGTTCTTCCTAAAGGCACCAGTGTGACAAGACAGCTGCTGTCCCTACCTTTTGTGTCCTGTTTTATAAGCTATCGGACCCCAGAGGCTGTCAGGCAGAAGGAATGGGGTGTGGGGTAACCCTATACTTTGGTGAAATGTCTGCAGTCTGAGTTTCCTGTTTCTGTGTCATTCTGTGCTGGTGGTACAGCCCAGTGGTCATGCTCTCGTTCAGTGCATAGGTCCTGGGCTGCTACCCAGTTCCAGAGAAGAAATGAAAGAAAGACCAGGTCTCCTCCATGCTTTTTTATGCTTTCCCATGAATCGGCTACACAAACAGCCTTTTAGGCTTAGCAGCCTGCTGGATTTGTACCAGGAAGGGCTGGTGGTCTCAGCCCTTCCTCTATGATGACCAGCTGGCAGCCCGGGCTGGGGGCCTCCCTTCCCTAGCTGTGCACAAGCTTTCCAAATGGGGCAGGGTAGAGACTCTCAGCAAGTCTTGCTTCCCAGAGGCTTCAGGGCCTCTTCCTAGGCCTGAGAGACCCAGGCTCAGGACAGCATGAGCCTGAGAATCTTTACTTCCCAGGGTCAAGATCAAGCCCATTCACCTTGGACAGAGGGCCTTCTGTCTACTCTAGCCCTGGCCTCCTCCCCATCCTCTCCCTACTTCCTTTCCCCTCCCCCACTTCCTTTCCCCTCTCTCACTACCCTTTCCCCACCCCGCTGCCTCCACAAACACCTTCCAGCACTGTGCTGAGCCTCTTAGCTTACAGGGAATGTCACCCATTCCTGTGTGGTGCCCGAACCAACGGAAACACCTTCATTCCATGTGCTCAGCCTGGCGCTGTCTGGGCTTTGGAGACATTGATTGGAAATTGAGCCACTAGATTCTGAGGACACAGCCTCAGGGAAGGAACAGTGTGAATTAAAAAAAGATAATATTTAAAGTTTCGAGGACTTTCTGCTTTTACAGACATAGTTTTCTCAACCTCCATCTGTGGTCTGGCCTTGTGATCACACAGGTCTAAGGCCAGAACATGTGATTGTGAAACTTGACCCTCCCTGCCCCAGATTTTTACATTACCCTTCCAAACACAGGACAGCCTGTCTTCCTTCTCCACCTCTCACAGGTTGGACAGAGGCCAGGGGAGTTCCAGGGGAGGTAGCCTGCCACCCTCCAGCTTAACCTGCCTCACAGAACAAGACTCCCCCAGGGCCTTGCAAGACGCATGCACACTGTGTAGCACCACCGCCGGGCACCTTGTGTCTCCCATGTCAAGATTTGTGCCGTCTGATCTTGGCAGCAATAACTAACTACCCAGGTCCAGCCTCAGGTGCACAGGGCACAGGAACCAGAGAGCTCTTGGTTGCCTGCCTGCCTTGCTCTACATTCTTCCCTTCTACCATTTCCCGAGGAGTGAAGACCCACAATAGCCACCTTCCCTGATGGCCAGGTCTCAGGCCCTCTGGCACTTGAGGGGAGCTCTGGGAAGGCTGGTGATCTCTTCTGAGGAGTCTTCACCCTTTCTTGTGCTTATGGAAGAGAGGGAGAGAGGGGTAATCAGAGCCCAACTTGGCTGCTAGTCTAGATTTTGTCCTGGGCTGATGTCTAACCTCGGTCATCTTCCTCTTCAAGAGCTTCTGGGAGGGTGAGCAAATAGAGGGCGCTCAGGAGGTCCCCAACTTACCAAGAAATCTTCCCGAGGCTGAGCTGGAAGAGAGCACAGCTGTCCTTCCTGTGTGCATCGGCTGGCTAGCTGCACTTCAGGATCCAGTGAGACCCAGCAACTGAAAGCGAAAGTCCCACCTTCTGAACACAGCCAACCCACACCATGTCCAAGAACCACCCACACCCCCCCCCCTTGCTGACACACAGAAAGAAACAACCTTAGCTCCCCATACCCTGTCCTTCTCAGTCCATGACAGCTTGGTTGCGGCTTCTCAGTGGGCCTGAGGAAGAAAGGCCTGCCATCGCAGATGGTGGGGCCCTCTGGAGTTCACCCCCCAAATGACCCTGCTCTGTCCACTCACCCTGTCCAGAAGAACCCTTCTCCATCCTCCTCTACCGTGGCTGCCCTCATCCTGTGGATGCAGACAGAGAGGCTGCTTTGTCTACCGTGTCTGGCACCTGGATATCTGCGTGCATGGCTTCTTATTCCATAGACCCCTACATGCACCCTGGAACCTCATGCATTGTTTGTTCTCAGAAGCCCCCAGCATGCCCCAGAGCAGACTTCCCTGCTGCCTTCTTGGCTCTCACAGTACCTTGGGGTCAAAGTCCTCTCTCTGGCCAGTCTCTTGTCTCCAAGCTCACAAAGCTGGAGGGCTGTTGAATAGCTCTCCTTTTTTCCTAACAAAAGGGACTGTTGGGATTATGTTCTTGTGGAATGTATACAATTTATCCTCGTTCATTCAAGTGCTGGTTTCTCTCCCCCACTATCTGGTGTCAATCCAGACATTGCACTGTGATGTTTATTCTAAGCATCACCTGTCTCAAGTTTGTGTAAACATGCCACCACTTGTTCTCTGTATTGTCAATGAAACAACTAGCCAATGCTGAGCAATGGAGAGGATAGGATGGGACATCCTGGTCCGGAGGGGAGGAGAAGGAAGTGAGTGGGAGGAGTCTGAGAGCAGAGATCAGGAGGAGAGGACTTGGAGCCATGAGGAGAGATGAACTGGAGCTACGATATGACTAAAAGCAAGTATAATGTGGGAAACCTGAATAAGGGGAAACTATGTGGGCTTAGGAGGTTTAGGATGGAGTAACTCTTGCCCAGCATTGTGCTCTAGGTAAATTAAAAAAATCCTAGTCTCTGTGTGGTGATTTGGGTGTACAGCTGGTTTAGGAATAACCGCTGTTTAACTAAAAGATAAATTGATAATGAATATTAATAATCAACAACAAGGGACTTTAAGTGAGGCAGGATTGCAGGGACCAACTGACCATTCTGTCATGTATGTCCTTGGGGTTTGATGGCTCTCCCCATCCAGCTTCTCAGAGAAGGATCACAGGTGACACCGTGTCTTCATGCTCCTGCTGGCAACGCTGTTAATTTACTATATATTTGGAGTTTTAGAATCACTTCTGAAAACTAAACACCTCAGTTTCTTATCAAATCAGCATCTAATCATTATTGGTAATGGGGGATGGGCTGTGATTCTTTTCCCCCCAGGTGGAAACAGATGTGGTGAGAGGTAATGTCTTTCATGTCACAGCTCTTTAACATCAAGACTCCAAGCCAAGGTCCATATTCAGACAACAGACACTTGTGAGCACGCTTTCTCTTTCAAAGTTTTTTTTTTCCCCCCTGTAGCCTTTCTTGTTCTCAATTCCTTCTATCACTGTCAGCATAACTTTATCTTGGTAGGTAGAGGACACCACAATGAGATGCCAGAACCAGGAAAATGTCCCTGAATACTGTCTGTCCATGGGCTGGCCATGATGGAGACCCCTCTGATCAGGGCCAGGAATGAACTGGAACATTAATACGTTCCTGAGTAGAGGTGGGGTGTGACTGCAGGACCTGGCTGCAGATTCACCTGAAAGAGACAAATCAGGATCTCAACCTCCAGGTACAGAAGCAGAGCCCAGCCCGCCTGGACATCCTCAAGATTTGCTAAAGAATGGCTCTGTTGACCAGTGACATGGCAAGAAATGTCACTCAGGGTGGCTGCCACTTCAGAGGTTCAGAGGCAACTGCAGTCAATGGGGATGTGACCTTAATGCACGAGGAGACAACCCTGCAATGGCTGTGGGAGGCAGACAGTGTTCACAGCTCCACCTAGTGGAGGCTGGAGGGTAAGCAGCCAAGGCGCTTTGCCAGCATGGTCATCCCAACTGGCTCGCAGCCTTAAAAAGACAGCTGACTCAGACAAGATGGATCCACTGCACTGACCGCTCCCCTCCCCGCTCCCCTCTCTTCCTCTAAGGCCTATAGAGGGGACAGGGATTTTTCAAATGAGCATGTGACATGGGACTTCTAAAATCATACAAGGCATCAGCACAGACAAACCTGCCAGGACTGCAAAGCACAGGGAAGAAAGTTGCCCCCTGCGTTGATGTCCCTGGGTCATATCCTGCCTGGGAGTGGAAAAGAGCCTGACACAGAAGCCTGGCTACCAGACTCATCCTCAGGACGGCCCGATTTGTCTTTGCTCATATAGCATATCAGACTTTGAATAATACGGAAACATCAGGAGAATTTAGAACTAAGTGTAAGATGACAGAATTGAACCCATGACTGTAGCATTTCCATGTTGCAGCACAGATAACTCTGCCCTCTAAGGGATACACACATAATTTTCAGGAACATTGGACACAGGAACTCTGTGATTCCAGTTGTAACAGGATTAGAAATTGACCCAGAGGCTGGCATTCACCTTGAAAACTCTGAGGGAGCTGACGATGAGCTTGAGACAGAGAGAAGATGAGAGCTCAACTTCAGCAGATAGTTCCACATAGATGGGAGAAGAAGGGAGGTGGTCAGGGAGGAGACAGGCAGCTCAGCAGCACGGCCCAAGGGCACCGCCGCAGTCCTCAGTCACCAAGGAGGGGTGGCCAGTGTCACTGTCATGCCACAACCTGGCCTTGAAATCTTGTGGCACTTGATTTTGGCAACCACGAAGGGCATGGTCACAAAGTATAGAGTTGTCACGTGACCCAGCATTCCACTCCTGAGTAACCTCAAAAGAAGGGGCAGACATTTGACTCCCACACTCATAGCAATGTGATTCATAGGAGTCTAAAGCTGGCCCAGCCCGAGTGTCCATCTGTGCATGAATACACGTGAGAATGAATTCATCTTCCACACTCAAGATGCAGGAGAGCCTGACCCATGCTAGGACATGGATGGAGCTCGAGGACATTAGTGTAAGTTAAATACCCTGCCCACAGACGGGCACATCCCAAGTGAGCACTCTGAACGATGAGGTCCTGCAGATGATCTATGAATGGCTGCAAGCACTGTGGGGACAGGAGTTATGACCGTAAGTGTTAGGGTATATTTAAAAAATGCCATACAGTAAACAGATCTGATATGAAGAGATTTATTTTGGGGGATGGAAAACGGAGAGGAGTTAGGGCCTGAGTGGGTCATGAGGGGAAAGAGAGAGAGAGATACACAGACAGAGAAAGAGGCAGAGAGAGAGCAAGACAGAGAGAGAGAGAGAGAAATGGGGGAGGGCCCCCAGGGAAGGGGAGAGAAACCGAGGCAAAGAGAGCGGGTGGCAGCGGCAGATGGTTGTAACTGAAGCACCTGGCCCAGGTGATGACACAGGTCACAGGTGGTGACATAGGACGCTGTCAGTACCCTAAAGACCCCTGAGGGCAGGCCAGGTGAACTGCCTGCACAACATAACATCCTTTCCTTTTCGTTTAATTAAAACAAGGAGTTGCTAGGGAGGAATGATGAGGCAGAAATGAGTACATTGGAATGCTTCTCAGGCAAAGAAAGTTAAAGTATAGAAATGTAGGCTCATTGGAAGCAGCTCTTGGACACCATGCAAGGGGGAGACAGACATAAAGAGAGAGGGAATGAGAGAGAGCACCAAAACATCTGGATTACGCGGCAAGAAGAGAAAGCTCCCACCCTGGAAAGTTCAGGGCGGTGGGGTTTGCCAGTCATAGTCTAGAGCAGATAGGGGCTGAGGAATGCTGGGAGAATCTGGAGTAGTTTGTCCCAGCCTGAAGCACACCAGTAGGGAGCAGGTGTCACTGCCAGATGGGGTGAGTTCCAACCCGGATGGTGATGTTTGCGTCTCAAGTTGAGCTCTCTGTCTGTCCCGCAGCGCACACTCAGCAATGGCTACCAAGGCAGCTTTAACCCCGTGTGCATCTAACTACAGCTAAACAATCTTAAGTCTTTCCAAATAACCATTTTTGGGGGGGGGGGAATTTGGAGCCCAGGGACCCCGATTCAGATTTTTGTTTAGGTGTTTTCCCACACATGGTTACACATGCCTCAAAGACTGTCACAACGATGCACCTCCTCTCCCAGGGAGAGGAGTGGGGTTCCGATTTGGGGAGAGGGCTCACCTTGGTGAGCGGTGCAAATGGGGTCGCACTCAGGTCTCCTGATTCCTGCTTTCCCCTTTCTGACCTAAAGGAAGAGGCACACCCACATCCACATGGTCTCAGACCAGGATTTTCACCCCTGTGTTCCTGCAGCTAGTCTCAGGTGAGTCAAGGCTCCCAATTACTGTGGGAGGTTGCTTAGAGCCCATCTCTCCTGTGGCTAGGGACGATGGACAGGGGCTCTGACTGGGTCCCCAGTTTCTGACGTCACTGATACACCATGGCCTCTCAAAGTCTCTTCTTACACTTGAAACGCTGATGTTTCAGCATGTCTGAGAGCAATGACAGGTTATAGCCTCTCTTGTCCAGTTTTCAAATACACAAACACACAAACATACACACACACACACACACACACACACACACACACATGATAGACATCCACAAACAGACATGAACACCAGCACACCCATATGGACACAGAACTAAGTGGGGAGCCCTGTACCCTGACCGCACTTTGAGATGCAGGCAGAGAGTGGTGTACAGGTGTTATCATCATCCTGTGAGAGGGCCGCTCCCTTTCAGCCTTCAAGAGCAACTGAAACTTTCAGGATGTCCCCTCTCTAGCTGTCTCTCTGCAGACACAGGATGTATGGAGTCACCTGGGCACAGATCCATCCGGAGGTTTCTGCAGACCCTGTAGCCACTCCAACCAAGCTCACCAAAGACCAGGTCCTTCAGTGGCATCTCCCAAAACCCCCACTAAGGTGAGCCTTCTCCCTCTTTGAGGACACCTGACTGAGTCAGCTATGGCAGGCATATCCCGGGGATCTTTGACTGGTGGACCTGGAATGTACAGGCGTACGTTGTCAGTGTCCTGTGAGGAGGAGTGAATGAACCGGTGCTTCTGTGAGGTGTCCCCGTGAGGCCTGTCAGAGCTGCCTGTGGCTCCCAAAGTTTCCTTTCCTCAGCAGCTGGGTTTTGGTCCCTGACCTCATCACAGCAGCACGGTGGCTCCCAAGGTCCCTGAGGTGTGTTCAGTGGTGCAGAGGCCACTCCTCTGCCCCTCCCCCAAGCCTGATTCTCCTTTTGGACAGTGAACATCAGGACTCTTAGTGTGGAGCATGCTCAAGCTAACAGTGACCGTGTGACACAGGCCAGACAAAAAGGGCAGCTGCTAAAGGACTTCTGGGGACTCTTGCCACAGCTACAGGTGTGACAGGAGGGCTGGCTTCTTTCTCGTTCTTTCTGCTTCATAGCTGCAGGACCACAGAGCCGTGAGGACCGTGTACCAAACAGAGCCGGGGAAGTAAGCAGACATGACGAAATGGAGTCTTGGGTGACCCCCCACACGGCTCAAAGCCTCTGCACTGAGGGGCTCATTCTTCCATGAGAGACTGGCTGCAGATGTGGCTCGGAGGTAGAGCACTTCCCTAGTGTGCAGGAGATCCTGGATCCTCAAAGCTGGAGGGTGGAGGAAGGCTCTCTTGGTCTGCTCTGAACCTGCCTTGGACCTGGCCCCCTTCTACCTTCTTGGATGGGTGTCCCCTGGCTAGGTGTTTTGAGGGATCTTGGATGATGTCTGCCCTGTCTTGCTCCTGGTGATCTGGGAGCCCAGAAGGGAACACAGGGGTCAGGACTTCATGTTCCTCCCAGGTCAAGTTCAAGGGCTTCCCCACAGCACACAGCCCTACTCCTGGAGCAGCCACAGTTACCTTCCAGGTCCGCAGACCTGCACTGGGCTCCTTCCGTGCCATGACCTTCCTCCCTTTCCCTCCCATTCCAGGGCCTTATATAGCACTTCTCTCCTGGTGGCTGGCCCAGTCCCCCCCAGCCCTGGATGTTCAGATTTCCTATGGCGCTTCTCCCTATTGAACTTGCCCCAAACATCTAGGTCCCTCCTACTGCCAAAGGACTTGGCATGACTACAGTGGCAGCCCAGTGCTGGAATCCTCTTTCTCTAGGGCCCAGCCAGGGTCCCCTAGGCACCTCACATCTCCAGTAGGGAGACAGCAGAGTGTGTCCTTGCAGCCAGTGTCGGGGCCAGAGCAGCTTGCTTTGTCCAAATGGTTGTGAAGTAACTGTCCAGATAACCTAAGGAAGTACACAGAAGACAGTCTACAAGCACCAGGAAGTGCCCGCCCCCATGAGACAGAACAAGAGAAATAACAGACAGGCTGTTAGGAACCATGGATCCTGTGGGACAGAGCTTGAGACACACAGCTTCCTGGAGCTAGCTAGGTCAGACCCCAGAATATGGGTGTGTGTCCAAGTCTGTCTTATTCTTCACCCAGATACCCAAGACAGTGCCTGCCATTTCCCCCATCCCCCACAGGCTGAGCAGAGACAGGTGACACCCAGAAGACACATACCTGCCACCCACTGCTCAGCCTCCTTCCCAGGATCCTGGACAATCCATCCTCTCCTGCGGCCTCAGTGTCCACACAGAGCCTGACATACAATAGGAGCGTAGAGACAGGTCGGGGGACACACCCAAATCCTGGCTGCTGGCATCTCAGACATTAGCCTTTGTCCCCTCCCCCTTTGGTAGCATCACCCCAGAGCCAGCCTTACCCACTAGACTCCTGAGACAAGCAGGCTAGGTCCTTAGACCTCTTCATGTCTTTGTTTCCCCCATTTCTCAGTGGAGTGGGAACCCACATCAGACACCTTCCTTTTGGGGTCCCCTGTCATGTCCCAAGCATTCTGTCATCTGAGCTGAGCTCCAGAAGCTCAGGAGTCCCTCCTGAGGGAGAGCTTCTCTCTTCTTCACAAGTGCACCAAGACACAACAAGGCTTGGAGTCCACCTATCCTGTCACACAGGTGTTCATAAAATGAGTAGACAACTTTCTCTATAGTTGCCAGGAGGGTGGGCAAGTGGCTGAGTTGGAGCAGCACCCAAGTCTTCTTGAGGGTAAGGGTTTGCCACAGGCTGTGTCTGTATGATGAGGAGACAAAGGCCAGAACTCAAAGCAAGAGGGAGAAACTCCTCTTCTGAGCATCTCAGATCCAGCAAATCCCCAGACCCAGGTGCTGAGCTCCCTCCTCACTCCACTCTTTGTCCACACACTCACATGTGAAAGAAACAGACTAACTTTGTAACCTATGTCTCTTTTAATTGCCTTATAACTTATATTTTCAAGTTTTAGGCCAATGTTAATTAAAGCCTCTTAGTGCTTCTCCTGAGAACAGAGGAATGTAAAAGTTCCTGACATTAACCATCTGCGAGGGCAGAGATAAGGAAGAGAACAAGCAGAGATCTCTACTAGGTGGAGAGAAAATCACCGGCCAGCGCCTGTGAGATAAACTTTGTTTGGAAACTGGGCCAAATGGGCCCAATCCTCCTCCTGAATAGCTCCTGACCTTTGACCCAAAGCCTGTAGCCCCCACTCCTCAGAACAGACACAGGATGAGTTAATCACTCTCCCACCTTAAACTGTGGCTATATCTCATATGGCAGGAATTTACAAACTGACTTGAAGATCAGATATTCCCCAGATATTTACAACAGGGCTGACCGGACCTAAGGGTGCCCAGAACCAACCAATGATTTTAAAAGTTAAATACCTCATCCAATCCTGAATTGTCAAGACTGCAAGCCCTGAAAATTCTTGCACCTTGTCCTTTAACAACCCAAAGCCTTTGTCTCCTGGTGCCACTCCTTGCTGACCAGCAGGGGTGACCCCATTGCGCAATGGTCAAAATAAACCTCTTGCGATTTTCCATCAATGAGATCCGTCTCCTGAGATCTCTTCATCCCTTCTAGATATAAGGCTTGAAAAGGTTAAACTAACTTTGCAACCTGTATGTTTTTTAAAGCCTATAGCTTTGAGTTTTAGGTTCAGGTTAAGCTCAAGCCTCTTAGTACCTTTCCAGAGAATGGAAAAATGTGACCTTATCTGTGAGGACAGAAAAAAAAGGGCAAGTAAGCAATGACCTTCACTCAGCAAAAAGAAGGACCAGACCCTTGTCTTTGAGATAGTGTTTCTTACCAACAATCCCAGACTTCTTCTGAGTAGCTTTTGACCTCCAGCCAAAAGTCCGAAACCCCTAATCTTCAAGGATGAGCTAAGCACCTCCACCTTAAATTGCAGCTGCATCCACACTTGGCAGGACTGGCCAAGCTTGAGCACCTAAGACTAAGCAATTATCTTACTTTATAGCGTCCTCATCCAATCCTAAATTGCCAAAATGTGACCCCATTGCACAATGGTTAATAAACCTCTTGCTTTTGCAACGAGTCTTGGTCTGGGAGAGTTTCCGGGAAGGGCGCAATCTTAAACTCCTGAGCTGTGAGACCCCAGGTCTTACAGGCTCGTGCTGAGCCTAACACATGGCCAACCTCAGGCTGACCTTCTAGATTCTTCTCAACAGACCCCGTATTATTGTGAATTCTCCATGGTCTTGAAGGAAAAAACAAACAAAAACTACACACTTTC